TCTCTGGAGAGACTCACCTCGGCAATTCAGAGAGAAAATTCAGAGCATGAGAAATTTAAAAACCAAAACAACAGGGGCAAACGAGAACAAAAAGCAGCGAAGCCTTTACAGCAGATCATGTTTTCCTGCTCCTGTCTAAAAAACCCACTCTTGAATTGTAACAGTACTTGTAGTCCTTTACTATTTTCGTGCTAGGAGTACTTTAGCACTTGTGAGGTTTACTGCAGTTTTGCTCCATGGACTTGGCTCATCAGCTAGTGCTCTGGTCCTTCTGTCCAGAAGTGCTGCATGAGGAATATGAGGGGGTTTGAGTGGTCAGGAAACTGACTTGTTCTGGTTTTCTCCTGACAGAGATGGATGAATGTTCTCTGCCGGACAATGGTGGGTGTGAGCAGCTCTGTGAGAACACACTGGGCAGTTACAAATGCACCTGTGAGCCTGGCTATGAGTTGACAGCTGATAAAAAGAGTTGTGAGGGTGAGTAACCTACAGATTGTCTGTGTAGGATGGGTACTACAATCTTGAAGATTATTTTCCTTGCCCTTGGATCCTCTTGTTTCTATTTGTCTTCCTCCACCTGAAAAATTCCTTTTTGTCAACATCTTCCATTGAAAAACAAGGTTAGGTTGAAAAACTGAAAATACTCTGATTCTCTACTGGTAAATATCTCTAAAATCATTTGTTCTTCATGGCCAGAGATTCCTGTTCAGGCCAGATCTCCCACAGTGCAGCATAAGAGAGGATGGGTATTACAACCTGACCATTAAGTGGCACAAAAGTATTTCAATCTAAGGCTGAATTTATTATTTTTTAAAAGAAACTTCTTTTGTAGAATAAAATATTGATGTTTCGCCTACATGCAAAGCAGACATTCTGCATACTGAGGAGTGTATTTCCTTCTTCTGGTATGAGAGGGGAAAAAACAACCCTACAGCACATCTTCAGTAGAAACTGTTTCTGTCAGCTTTCTATTTACTCAGTTAATCTCTTGAATCAAGTGCTTGCTCCCACCAACAATATAGCTGTTGGTGTGTGAGAATCCACCCATTGTTGTTGTCTCTTAGGTCTGCCTTTCAGCTGAGATGTGTAAGGAGCTCCACACTGAGTGGTGCTCTCAGAGTCACACGTTTTGCCCTGACTTCTAATTTTGTCTCTGTTTGGGGAAGGCTGCTATTGACTTGGTAAGGGCAGAATTAGGTGTCATTTTTTTTTAATAATTTCTTGGAATTTTGAGCAAGCAAGTTGGTATAACTTGGCAAGCGTTTTTTGAACCTCACCCTTGTATTCCTATTTTAAACTTCATTTGTGGGCAATACAGGAAGGATAATCTTTGCAATTGTAGTGATGTACATTGGAGTAAAATGCTTTTGTTTCTTCTGACATTGCCACTCTTTTTGTATCAAAGCTGGTCCCTTGGGTTTGCTTTATTGCAAACAGGATTTTGTAACAAAAGAGCAAACTGAGGTGGATTCCTTTGATGTAAAAGCCATGCCCTCCCACAAGAGGATGAAGCTGAGATGTCCTAAGTTTTTAAAAGAAATTGGATAATAAAGCAAAGTCTTAGCTTTGTCTTCAGTTTTCCCTAGAGAAGATTTAGTCCACATATAGTAAGTCACTGAAGAGTTGACAGGGATGTCTTCCTAGGATTCCATTATCTTCCAGTTACTACATCGCTAATAAACTTGAAATAGTACGGTTTGTAGGACTGAGTGTGGGTAAATTTGCCAAGCTGGCCTTTACAACTGTGTTGTGCATGTCCAGTCGACTGATCCACAGTTGAAGCTACTACCACTGTCTAAGCCCAAGGCTAGAGAGTAAAAAGGAGATCAATCTTACATGATTTAAGTGGCTCTCAAAGCCATAGCCTGGCTGCATGTGTTTCATTGGTGAGTGAAGATGAGGTTTCTGTCTTCTTCACAGCTGCCAGCATTTTTAACCTGTTCTGGAGGCCGGGATTTGAAATGTGCCACCAACCAGGATCTGATTCATTTCATAGCTAACAGTGTGGCCCGGTATGTGTGTCTGAACAGAACCAAGTAAAACTTGTGTTCATTTATTGCCTCTCCAGCTGCGTGTGGGGGCTTCATCACCAAGCTCAATGGGACCATTACTAGCCCTGGATGGCCCAAGGAATATCCTACTAACAAAAACTGCGTCTGGCAGGTGGTAGCTCCAACCCAGTACCGGATCTCTCTGCAGTTCGAAGTGTTTGAGCTGGAAGGCAATGATGTACGTAACCAGTCCCTGCATCTCAAAGGCATGACTACTGGCTAACGCAGAACTGGATAAATCCTTGGGGTACAAGGAAGAGGAGACTCTGTCCTGCTGGTGGAGCCTTTGATATAATAAGCCATTAACAGTGGTTGATCTCCCTGAAGTCTGGATCTACTTTCTCTTTGGAGTGGAAAAGTGCTCTGTTATAAATGGGCTTCTTTTCTCTTCCAGTTTTGCATAACTGTGGGTGTTTTCCACCCCTAATAGGTATCTCATCCCCCCATTACCCAAAGCTGTCTTTGCTGGAAAATAATTAGAAACGAACAATGACGTAGAGTTCTTCAAGGATAAAAAAACCAACCAGTAAAATCTGTTCTCTGCCCTACCAAGGTCAGGGTGGAATTTGAACAAAATATTCAGGTTCTAGCTTCCCACTGTAAATGGGAGCAGTGATTCTTCCTTAATTCAGCAGGCTGCAGAAGTTCATTCAACACCGTCAGGTTCTTGGATATAGTCAGAGTAATTATTTTAGCTAAATTAAATGGAACCTTTGCTAATCTGGAAACACACCCATGCTTTAAGGTCAGGGAAGCAATGGAAGGGGATGAGAACACTGACAGAGGAGAATCTGGGGAAGTGAGGAGTGTGTTTGAGTAGCAGGCCGTTTCTGTTCCCTCAGTCAAGCCTCTCTCCCCTTCCTCTGAAATGTTCTGTTCAATGTCGATGGAGCTGAGAAATCTCCTCCTCTCTCGGCAGGTCTGTAAATATGACTATGTTGAGGTTCGTAGTGGGTTGGCTTCTGACTCCAAGCTGCATGGCAAATTCTGTGGCTCAGAAAAGCCCGAAGTAATCACTTCGTATGGCAACAACATGAGACTGGAGTTCAAATCAGACAACACGGTCTCCAAGAAAGGCTTTAAAGTTCACTACTTCTCTGGTACGTGGCTCGATTCTTTCACTTGGTTAGCTTTCTCCTCTGAGTGAACCTCTTGTTTTGGGGGAATTTTCTTCAACTTCCTGTCAAATCAGGCGGAGCCTGACATGGTTGTTTACATCTAAAAAGCATAGTTGCTCTCTGCTGTGACACCTTTCATCTTGGTTTCTCAGTGCAGTATTTGGTCCAGTTCCATAGCATGGTGTCAGCAAGATACATTGGTGAAATCCATGTCTCCAGTCCTTCCACAGCAGGAAGCAATGGGGAACCTGATCTGAACCTAAAGGAGTTAGAAAATTTCCAAAAGTCTTCTGTATAGCAATCCTTCCCATCAAAGCAGTGCATGCTGATCCCCTGTTCTGAATCCAGAGTAGCTTTTGGTGTCAGTGTTGAACCTTCTTGGCAGGCAGTTCTGGAGGTTAATAGTACGTTGTATGGAAGTGGAAATTACATTTCACGCTGTGTTTTCAGCAGAGACCAAGGAATGTTAATGTTTTTGAGGAGGTGATCAGGCAAAATGGCCTTGAATTAAACAGTTGTGGAGTAGAATCAGGGCTAAGGGCTTGGCTAATTAAATCTTAAAAGACGAAGGATGAGGTGAGATCTGTTTCATCTAGAAACACATTTGAAGGTGAGGAGACAGATGACGTTAATGAGGTCAAGGGAGGATATTGGTCCAAGAAAAATTGGAGATGAACTGTTCATAAATTAATTTGGACTGGAAACCATAAGCAGATTCTATGCTCAGAGCACTGAGATTCAAGAGTACATAGTCCTGAACACAAAGGAGTGAACATCCACTGGGGCATATTTCAGCTTCAGGGAGCAGCGCATACCTTAGGTCCCCTTTTCCATCTGGCTACTTGTGTTCTTGGACAGAGCTATATAAAGATGGAGGCTCATCAGAGCATGTAGAAACTTGAAAATATAAGGACTGGCCAGTGGATATTTGCCTAGGGTAGTGAATTTGTGTGATACTTTTCCTGGACTCTATTCTAAAAGAATGATACATTACTGTAAGTTTCTTTTAACCTATGGCATTGCTATTACTCGAAACCTACATTATAGAATAAAACCCATTTGTGATGCATTTTATGGAATGAAGGACAATTGAAGAGAGTTGTATCTGGGCTAAAAAGCTGACTGGACTAATCCAGGAGCAGAGGTTGGATGTTTGCACTGTTATCTGCCAGTCTGGGTATGGCATTCCCAGGTGGCAACTGTGGTTGTGTGTTTCTCATTGTCAACTCAGTGCTTGTTGATTTGATCCTGCCCAGACAAGGATGAATGCTCCAAAGACAATGGTGGTTGCCAGCATGAATGTGTCAACACCTTTGGTAGCTACATATGCCAGTGCAGAAATGGCTTCATGCTGCATGAAAATGGCCACGACTGTAAAGAAGGTAAGGTCCTCACTCCCTGCCCTCAGGAAAGACAAGGTGCTTCAAACATGGTTTGTGCCAGCATGCTTCCTGCCTCGTTTACCATGTTTGTACAGCACACCAGGCTGGGGCACTGAAAAGGCCCCAGTTAGCTGAAAAACTATCTAGAAAAATGAAGAAGAAAGCTTGTTTTCAGCTGCATCCATTCCCCAGTCTGGCCCTCTATATGGCCATGAGGGATGGACAGGGTGAGAGCAAGAAGTTGGGCTAGCAAAAGGATCGGTTGTGGGACAAGTGCAAGGTCCTACACCTGGGTC